TTGTCAAGTGACTTTTATCTCAGAGAATTTTATGTTTGATTTTTTTACACAAGTGACAATAAACAAACCACAAATAAGGCAACTTTTCTTCTGTGTTTTCTAGCTTAACTCATGAAGAGAGTTCATTTTGAACTGCTAAGTGGAATATACCTTGTTGGGAAATTATTTCAGTCCTGTTAAATGTTTAAAGACGTGCTGGCAGTTGGAGTTTCCACAATGTAATCTAAGCAATCATTTCCTGGGAAGGTTCCAAACTTGCTGAGTCATTAATTTAGCACACTAGGTTAAAAGACAAATTCAGTCTCTAGAAGAGCAGGATACATTGTCTCTCTGAGTAGGTGTTCAGTGCACAGAGTTCCAGCTTTAGCAGTAATTTAAAATGAAACACTTGATAAAAGAATGTTAAAGATGCTTTGTGAAACCACAAACTTAAAAAAAAATTGATCTCTGTAATTTTTTTTATTTAATCTCTATTCCTGGCTTTAAAATACAACTTTCATCATTATGTTCTCATATTATCTCCCATGCATGATGTGTTAACTCTTACACTTCTAACACAAAAAATACCTTTATATTTGTCATTATATATAATTTGTCAAATCAAATCATTTATATGCATCTATCTCAATACCATATTACAGTGATGTCAATTCTTACAAAAGTTCCACACCTGTAAGTTGATCCAAATTCCTCCAATTCATAGAACATATGGCTAATATAAAAATATAAAATTTTTAAAAATGCATTCTCTTATATGTGTTTCCCATAGTTATAGAAAACGAAATTTTAAATGTGCTCTTTAAGTTTTGAGCCATTTTTTTCTCTGAACATATTAATGAAGCAGAATAAAACAGACGTTCCAAAGCATTTCAACTTTCCCTCCTCTTCTCGCTAAAAAAAAATCATTCTGCAGATTTTTCAGGTTCACCAACTACATGGGGTCAAATTGGAATAGGAACTAAGAGTGAAAATTAATTTAAACACCATTTAGTTAACCTAATAAGCCCAGCGAAACCTTCAGTAGTGTTGATGGGTAGGGAAGAATTTTCACTTTATTGTAGTTAGCTTTAAAGAAAGGTGTTATTTAAAACTCTAAAGTACTGTGCACATTATAATTAAATATAAAAGTAAGGCAAGAAAATGTAGTAAGTTAATGAAGAATTTGAATTTTATTTATGTATAATAAAGTTTTTATAACATACACTTGGTATATGATGAAATCTCTTTACTTTGTATAATAATGCATTTCATGCAAAAATTTCCAGTTATTTCTGTCAACATTATGATTCAAATTACTATCTAGTTTCCTGTTGAAATTATCTTAAAATCCAAAGATCAATGAGATTTTTTTAAAAGTATTTCCTTTAAAACTATTAATTTCTGAATTTTTGCCTGCTCTGTAGCTTGATATATTAAACAAAAACATACTGTAATTATGCTTTATGGTGTACATGCCTTCACATAAAACTTCACATAATAATTGGAATTTTATATTTTTGCTCAAAATAACAACTGGTTATTAATTATTAATGACAAAATGTGTCATTGATTCTGAAAATCTTTAAGTCTTAGTTTGTGATCACATCATTAGAAATACTTTCGCCAGCTGGGCACAGTGGCTCATGCCTGTAATCCCAGCAGTTTGGGAGGCTGAGGCGGGAGGATCACCTGAGGTTGGGAGTTGGAGACCAGCCTGACCAACATGGAGAAACCGCGTCTCTACTAAAAATACAAAATTAGCTGGGCGTGGTGACACATACCTATAATCCCAGCTACTCGAGAGGCTGAGGCAGGAGAATCATTTGAACCTGGGAGGCGGAGGCTGCAGTGAGCCAAGATTGCCCCATTGTACTCCAGCCTGGGCAACAAGAGTGAAACTCCATCTCAAAAAATAAAAATAAAAAAAGAAATATTTTTAAAGGGATGATGGCAGTATTACAGAAAGGGTGGTTCTTAAACATTTAGGTAAATATTGATAAATATATATTGCAGGGTAATGGCCTTATTCCATAGCCAGTTGGTTTTTTAAATAATCTGTTATATATCAACAAAGTCCTTGTTTTACATTTTTGATTGAAGGAAGGATAAAAACCCTATAAGCGCTTAGGAAATCATCAGATAATGACCCAGTTTTTCTTTTTTGTTTTCGCACTTTAGATTTGCCTCATGTTAGGGAAAGCACATGCAAATGTGTGTGTATACACTCCCAGAAACATAGAATTGAATAATGAAAATAGAACTTCAGACAGCTTCTCCATGCTCCCTTTCCCAAGATGTTTGTTATCTAGTAAAATTAAATGACTCAAACAGTCTCCTTCCAGCAGTAAATGAATTTCTACAAGATAAGTTACTATGCATGCCCCCTGTGTCAAGATTTAAAGCTTTACTTTTTCATTTAGAAATATGGGCCATATTGAAAATGATTACTTATATTTGGGACTATAAGAAAAGGTAATGATAAGTCTAGTTGGATTGCTCTCTGATTTTGAAATTTAAAATGGTGTGAATGGTATGAGGGCACTGTTTATTAATGCTATTAAAATCTTAATTTCTGACACTATAAATTACATATTCTGTGCCAAGGACACATGTGGCTGGCTGTGTAAATCTCATTATTGCCCCAATATGTGTGTAGTATAGTCTCTGGGCTACAGAGTGACAGCTAATTTCTTTTGCCTAAACTTGGAATATTTTTAAATTTCTTACATGATCTTGCCTTGAAGGTAATAAATGAAACAACCTCTCAAAAATAATTCTAATTCCTATAGTTTATGGCAGCGTTTATGTTGGATGAAAAGAAAATATTCAGTTTACTAGATTCCCTCTTGCTTTTCTAATGAATTTGCACCATGGTATAGTAAATGTCAAACTGACTCTGTTAGCACAGCCTTCAATTAGGTATGTTAAATTAAGGAAAGTAACTGAACAGTGATTTGTTCAGCTTTTCATAGGATTTTCCAAATCTGATAACATGTTAAATCTGCTAAGAAAGTGTGACATCAGGTTATCTTTTAGTCTGAGTGTTAAAACTTTTCAACTATGGAAAAATATCATTTTCATTTTAGTCTATGCTTAAAACTGGCCCATTGGCTACAGTTACTAGAGGACACTAGAACAGGGACCTTACCCTGTGGATTTAATTATTCTTTAATTCCATTGAAGGTATTTATTCAATATATTCATGATTCTGGTTTGGCAAACCTTTGGCTATTTTTATAATCTCCCTAGACTTCTCTGCAAGAGTTGAACCTTTCCAGAATAATTATGCCTTACAGTTTTTCTTTATGGAGTTATACTTGTGAATGTAGCTGTAGGCCTAATATTCCTGTGTAGAACTTCATTTTAAGTTTCTTTTTACTGTAGCTGGTGAATCTGAAAATAATAGTTTTCACTTTTGGTAATAGTATTTAACCTTTTGGTGCAGATAGGGATTGAAAGGGATAGAAATTTTTTGTAAATGTGATTTATTGCTTGTCTTATCAGTAATCATTTAAAATTAGAAATTAACCGAGTGTGGTGATAAAACAAGGGCTCTGGAGGCAAACAAATGTAGGTTCACATTTTGGCTGCACTATTTACTAGCATTTGACCCAGAGGTATCTATTTAAACTTTATGAGCTTAGATGCCTCAACTGTAGATAATAAGGCCTGTGTTTTAAGGCACCTAACACAGTTATTGCTATAGAGTAGGAACTTAATAACTGAGATATGTAAATGAGATATATAATTATAACAACGGTTCAAAAGCAATTCGGTTTATCTTATTCTGATGATTCTAAAATACATTTATTCTGATGGGATATATTTATTCTCAAATAGATCACAGGATATAAGAGGTACCATCAAATTATCCAAAAAATTGAAAACACGGTTAACTTTAGTTAATTTAATTTTTAAAAATCTATATACTGAACTGATTAAATAATTCCAAAATGACAGACAAGAGAGCACAGAGATATAATTATATCCAAAACATCCACTTTTATATTCCTTGTATAGTATATTAGTTCTGTTTTTGGTAATACAAATCTTTTGTTGTGTGGCTGAGGAAAAATTTAAAATCATGTTTATTTTTTTTCTTTAGGCAAACCAAAGGAACTGTAAGCCTGCCTTCCTTCCCTCCTTCCCTCCCTCCCTCCTTACCTCACTCCCTCCTTTCCTTCCTTCCTTCCTTCGTTCCTTCCTTCCTTCCTTCCTTCCTTCCTTCCTTCTTTCCTTCCTTCCTTCCTTCCTTTCTCTCTCTCTCTCTCTCTCTTTCTCTCTTTCTCTCTTTCTTTCCTTCCTTTCTTTCTTTCGAGTTTCACTCTTGTTGCCCAGGCTGGAGTGCAGTGACACGATCTTGGCTCACTGCAACCTCCATCTCCCAGGTTCAAGCAATTCTCCTGCCTCAGCCTACTGAGTAGCTGGGATTACAGGCGTGCACCACCACACTCAGTTAATTTTCGTATTTTTAGTAGAGACGGGGTTTCACCATGTTAGTCAGGCTGGTCTTGAATTCCTGACCCCAAACGATCCTCCCGCCTTGGCCTCCCAAAGTGCTGGGATTACAGCATTTTTTCAATGACGTACCATGTAGGGCAAACAGGAGGCATTTACTTTTCATTTTCTGTCTTTCTTAAATGCTTGCATTTTGTAACCATGTGCATGTAATACTGTAGAAAATGTTAACGGTATATGTGCACTGTTTATTTGCCTCCAACTTTGTATTTCCGTATTAGAACCACTTTTTTAAAGCAAAAACATATTTGAAAGACCTAGAAATCATGTTTAAATGTTCTGATCTCCAATTCTCTCTCTTTTTTTAAGATTATACAAGCAAGGTAACTCAAATAGAAATGGAGAAAGCAAGTAAATTATATTAATTAATAGAAATATAGTATTATTTCTTTCATATTATTAAACATCAAAGTACTAAATACAAGAGTAAACCGAGATCTTAAAATATATAAATATATAAATGAAATAGCCTCTTACTTCCTTTATTGTTTTCCAAAATGTAGCAAAAATCACCATCAGAGTCATTTATTGGTCGAGAGAAGAGGTCAAATTCTCAATCATACATTGGACGACCAATTCAACTTGACAAGATTTTGATGTCTAAAGTTAAAGTGCCGCATACATTTGTCATCCACTCCTACACCCGGCCCACAGTATGCCAGTACTGCAAGAAGCTTCTGAAGGGGCTTTTCAGGCAGGGCTTGCAGTGCAAAGGTAAGGATGATTTTGTCACCTGTCGAACTTTGATCACCCTCATTCATCTGACATAAGTATTTTCTGGTTACCACTTCTCTTTCTGACAAATTCTCATTTTGTTTTGTTTGAAAACCACTGGGATTAGATTGCAGATTCAACTGCCATAAACGTTGTGCACCAAAAGTACCAAACAACTGCCTTGGCGAAGTGACTATTAATGGAGGTAGGTAAAAGATCAGCTGTCATGTCTGTGCTTCTTCCCTATTAGAGAGTGTGGTGGTGATGATTTTAGTTGGGGTTTTTGGGTTTGGTTTTGGTTTTGGTTCAGATATTTCAGACACAGTCCAAAAGTGAATTATGGCCAGTGTTTGTTCTACTTTACTATAGAAAAGCATCCATGGAGTTTTGATAACAGTCAAAGACCCTTTCATGATCTTTACATGGTGAGCAGCTAGTATTGAAAACTTGGGTAGCCATACTTTATTTCACAGCTTTATTTTCATATACTCTTATCCTAGTTTGCCCAGAAATGTGGATGTTGTTGGGCTGCCTACAAGTTGTAGCTCTCAGTCTCTTCCTCTGTCCTTCTCATTTCAGTCATCTTTAATAATAACAGGAACTTTGTCAGCCAACAAAAAAATAGATATATTTTCTATATTTGGCATTATTCCTTCAAGAAAATTCTAACTGTATAAATTAACTTTGAAGGACTGCTAAGAAAAATGCCATATCTAAACAAAGAGCTTACATTTTCTTCCTAGGTAGCATGCTAATGGATCACTACCAAAATATTTGACTTAGAATCCCAGGTTAGCTTTTTCTGCAGATAGTGGTCTTCTTTGTACCTTTAGTCTGCTACCAGTTTTCCAATTCCTCTGGAAAGAAAAATGGCTATAAAAGACCACAGATACTTTTAGTTGAGTATTTTTGTTACTAAGAAGCTGATGAATGATGAACTAAGAAGAATGAATGAGTATCTTTGCTCTAGAACTTTCTTCTCTAGAGGAAATATATACTGTACCGAAAAGAAGAAGAAGGAAGAGCTCTCCAGGAAAACATTGTCACACTTGTTTCTGGCTTGGAGATTCATGAATTAGCTGCCAAAATTGAAAGCTTGGCGATCGTCCCACTTTCTGTGGCATGTGGTGTTGACTTTGTTCAGGCTCAGGGAATGTCAGTGTGTACTGGATAACTATAACTAAGGGGAAGCAGAACAGTTTTTGATGTTGATTACTTTGAAATGGTATTTTCTCATACATCCAGAAAAATCTGGTAAAATGTGAATTTTCCAAGCTTGGCAGGCTAGAGTCTCTCATTAATCTATGTTTTAATTTTAAAATGAGTACTTTGCATTAGTAAGTGATTATAATTTTTAACCATTACCATCAACTGTATAATGACAGGGTTCAATATTACTTCAAATATCAAATGTCTTATTTAAAAGCTGTAACTATGTGAACAATTTAATATATTGGAATTCGTGATTTTCAAAGTTACTCCAATAGTAAGAATCAGTGGCTTGAGTCTTTTTTCATGTGAAAGTTTCTGTCATCCTCTTACATACGTTTTTTCCCACCAGGGCTGTGTTTCTAAAATATGAGCAGCTTCCCAGTCACTGGGGCCTGGTATCACTTTGCATTTTACTTCTATCCCAGCCTTGGCTTCCTTCCAAGGCTTTTCATGACTTTTCATGTTTTCAGGCTTAGAAGAACGGAAAACGAGCATCTACCTATAAAATTACATATTCAACCTCTCATAAATTAAGATGCTTATAAACTGAAATAAAAAAGGAAATTGAAAATCATGGATGGATCTGGAGGCCATTATCTTTAGCAAACTAACCTAGGAATAGAAAAGCAAATACCACATGTTCTCACTTATAAGTGGGAGCTAAATAATGAGAACACATGGTCACATAGTGGGGAATAACACACACTGGGGCCCTTCGAGGTTGGAGTGTGGGAGGAGGGAGGATCAGGAAAAATAACTAATGGGTACCAGGCTTAATACCTGGGTGATGAAATAATCTGTACAGCAAACCCCTATGACACAAGTTTACCTAGGTAATAAACCTGTACATGTACCCCTGAACTTAAAAGTTAAAAAAAAAAAAGAAAATAATCTCTTCACAGAACTGCCTTTTTGGGGCTTCCAGTTTATTTGTTTTAGGATCACCTGACTGTCTCTTAAGCCCTGATTCCAAGATTCCAGGCTTATCTTCATGGGTCAAAATAATTTTCTAGATTTGCTTAGCCCTGGGGCAGAGTCTGATGTGGTCATGGAAGAAGGGAGTGATGACAATGATAGTGAAAGGAACAGTAGGCTCATGGATGACATGGAAGAAGCAATGGTCCAAGATGCAGAGATGGCAATGGCAGAATGCCAGAATGACAGTGGTGAGATGCAAGATCCAGACCCAGACCACGAGGATGCCAACAGAACCATCAGGTGAGAGCAGTACTGCCAGCCTCAGCAAACGGGGGAACCCCAAGCAGTATTTTCTCTTTAAACCTCTTTGATATTTTAATAGATTATAGTAGAAATGTGAAGTACATGTTTAATTTCTTATGAATGAGCTGTGTGCTGTAGGTGAGAGCCTTTGAAGTTAGGAGGTCTGGGTTCCCTCGGAGAAGTGTGGTTTCCATCCTTTCCTAGCATCACCTCATTCATGGACCCATTTTCTTTTGCATGTGAGAGATGCTCATGCTTGCCATCCACAAGTTTATTACTAAGTTAATATTAATTCGAAGCTCATTGTGTAGAAACAACAAAGATCAAGATCAAACTCAGCAGACATCATCTATTTTATTAGCTGGCCCCTGTTACAAATATCATAGTCTCTGCATACTTCACTGTTCTTGATATTATTTCAAAAGTATGTGCAATTTTATATCTGTTATCTAATTTTTGCTTTTGGTTACTGGATGATCCCCACTTTTTATATCAGGAATCAGCACAATGTGGCCACCAGGACAGATTGGACTGCTGCCCAATTTGTAGTAAAGTTTTATTGGAACATAGCCGTGCCCATTCATATTGTCTCTGGCTGCTTTTGCACTATATTGGTAAAGTTAGGTCTTTTGCAAAAACTAAAATATTTATTACCTGGCCCTTTACAGAAAATGTTTCCTAGTCTCTGATTTATATCATAAAGCCTATTGAAATTTTTGTGTCCATTTTACAAATGCCATGTTTATTGACAAACAGAAATTGTTCATGAGAGTAGAGCAATGAAATGATTTTTTTCCATTTAATGGCATAATGAACATTTTTAAAATAGTGGGAAATAATTGTCTTATGACCTGTCTTTTGAAGACATACACTTCTTTAGTGCCAAAGAGTTTGCATGGTGGGGGGTGGGGGAAGTGGGTGAAATAACATATATATTCATGTTGTGGGGAAGGGGACAAGGAGAGAGGGATGAAGAGAGAAAGAAACAGAGACTAGCAGATTCCAATTATTATGACATTATGCGAGAAACTAAAAATTCATGTTGAATAATGTAATCTCTAAATGATTGATAATGTACCTATAATGGGAAATAAATAAGCAAATAAGCTTTCATGTGTGAGTCTGAATAGTGTGGCCTCAGTAGGCTAAGAAGTATTCTTCCTCAGGTTGACCTGAAAACTGAACACCATACAGTTCAACCCAAAAGATGAGGTGCTTATTACCCAGCCTTGGGTTTTTTTTTTTTTTTTAGACGGTGTCTTGCTCTGTCGCCCAGGCTGGAGTGCAGTGGCGCAATCTCGGCTCACTGCAACCTCCACCTCCCAAGTTCAAGCAATTCTCTGTCTCAGCCTCTGGAGTAGCTGGGATTACAGGCACCCGCCACCATGCCTGGCTGATGTTTTTGTACTTTTAGTAGAGACGGAGTTTCACCATCTTGGCCAGGCTGGTCTTGAACTCCTGACTTTGTGATCCACCCGTCTCGGCCTCCCAAAGTGCTGGGATTACAGATGTGAGCCACTGCGCCCGGCCGGGATTTTTTAAGGTGTACGAATAAAGTGCCTATCACTCTTCAGAGTAACCCACTTTCAGAACCATGGTGCCTGACAATACATTTTACTAAAATTGAGATGTGAATTTTTGTAAAGTTTCACTTGGATTAGCTGACATAAGGTTTTATGCATGAAAATACATAAAATGTACCTGAAAACATTTTTCTCCTACAATATTTTGACTTCTCAAGTCCATCAACAAGCAACAATATCCCACTCATGAGAGTAGTGCAGTCTGTCAAACACACGAAGAGGAAAAGCAGCACAGTCATGAAAGAAGGATGGATGGTCCACTACACCAGCAAGGACACGCTGGTAAGATCCACAGGGAACAATGTTCTGTTGCCTTGCTAGCTTTAATTAGAGGAGTTGCTAATGTCCTGTGAGGGCTGTGAGATGCCTTCATTACTCAGAGTAAACCTCAGCACAGGCATGACACAGGATTAGGTAAGGTGCATTACAGTCTCAGGGTGTCAGATTAGTTGAGCAAGCAATGGAGTTAGGAAAAAATGTGGAAAGCAATTTCAGGCAAACAAATTCATTGACCTTGATTACCTGAGATGTCTACCTGCCATTTTATAGTACTTGTGGAAGCCACAGTATGTGCTTTCAGAATGTTCCACTGCAATTTAGAATTTTATAAGAAACACTGCATTCTAGGCAGAGAATAAAACAGTGATAACTATGTTATACTTCCTAAGTCCTTAACTGAGTTTTCCCTGAAGAACCGACCCATTCAGGAACATTGGAAGCCTGTATCCTGAGTGTTCATGTCTCCAGATTTTCTTAATAGTTGATGAATGAAGTTGTGTGTGTACATAAGAGAGAACAACTTGATTCACGTTTCAAAGTTAAATTGACAATTGGCTGATGTATTTTACTGTATTGCTTTTCTCATCTCTTACCTAAAGGATCACTACAGATAAGCAGACACCTATAATCTAATTGATCTATCTATAATTTCGACCATCTCTGTTAGAGAGAGAAGACTTACCTGATATTGTAGGGCTCAATTGAATACCGCCTAGTTCTTTTTAGATATGGTGTAATATATTTAATATATTTGACTGGCCTGAAATTGGTTGTGGAGAAGAAGAGCAGAATAGAGCTTTGGGGTCTTTTATAAGATAAAAATACACACACAACCTAAAATCCTGAAAAATATACCTACAGTGAAGAAGGACCTGATCACCAAATCATAGTGGTTAGATTTCTAGTGAGCTGGAGAGAAGGTAGAGTTGGTTGTTTGATGCATTCCGCTGACTTTAAGTTGATGTCATGGAGTCAAACTTACTGTCCAGCAAAATGTTCTTTACTTCTACTGTAACATTCAGAATTTGCCCATTGCCAATGGAAGTGAGAATACCTGGTTCCATCAGCATGGCATTTCTTATGTCCTAAAATAATAATAATAAACATTGCATCTCCTAATAAACCTTATTTTATTATAAACTATACATCTGCCTTTAGCCCTTCATGCAGTGAAATAAGCTTTAAAATGATGTTTTCTGTTTACTATGCACTTTCTAAATGCCAGACTCTTATTGGGTGCTAATACTTCATCTTACTCACAACCCTGTAACATAAATCCAGATACTTATCAGACATGTGGCTAAATAGCCTCCAGAACCTGAAATTGAGCGTGAATCTGCCTTTTCCAAAGCCCATGCACTTTCCACTCTCAAATCTTATGTCCCCATTGGGGAAATCTATTTGTTTTATCAATGGTGGATATTTTTGAAGTTTTTTAAAAAGGATTTGGATCTAACTTGTGTTTCAGCGGAAACGGCACTATTGGAGATTGGATAGCAAATGTATTACCCTCTTTCAAAATGACACAGGAAGCAGGTACTACAAGGTAAGAGGGGGCTCTTTCTTTGTAGTTTCATACCTCTTACTGCTTTTTCTTGGGAATGTGGAGTGTAAGAAATAGGAAATACATCCAACAAACGTGACTATTTTTGTGCTTCCTCCAGGAGCTATTTTTTTTTTCTTTTCTACAGTCTACAAATTTCTTGGGATTCAGGTTGGGACCCCTTGATTCATCTGTGAATTTTACATTTCCCCAAGGAGTGCTTCTGGTACCATGGGATGATGGGAGAGGGAGGGAGGCAAAGATTAATGAATATTTTAGCAAAGATGTATGATTTAACTAGAAAATTAATGGTCACAGCAGATCAGCTCAAAGTAAACTCCTGATATCCACTGCATGTAGCACACTGCCAGGAGGGAAGAAACATTGTATGATTTCTCCATGCTTGTCAGTATTCACAAAGAGCACTTTCCTCTAGAGAAAAAAATGGCAGCAATTTTTATTCTGTCCCTCTACATTAAGTAATACAGATGTGGCATATTATATCACCCAGAAAAACACAACTCCAAAACAAAATCTTCATAGAGAAAAGGGTAGATACGTGGTCCTTCAAAATGAACGCAGACTGTGGAATAGTTGATTTGATTCTCCATAGCCATTTTACGCAGCTGTCACAGAAAATGGAAACCTCACTAATTTTAAAATTAAAAGTTTGTTTTAGAAATTATTTTTTAGTCCCTGCATACTTCCTGGAAGACACAGTAGTGATTAATTTTTTTTAATATGAATTGCCTTAAAAATGATGACTATTGGCCAGGCGCAGTGGCTCATGCCTGTAATCCCAGCACTTTGGGAAGCCGAGGCAGGCGGATCACTTGAGGTCAGGAGTTCTAGACCAGCCTGGCCAACATGATGAAACCTCATCTTTACAGAAATACACAAATTAGCCAGGCGTGATGGGATGCACCTGTAATCTCAGCTACTCAGAAGGCTGAGGCAGGAGAATCACCTGAATCCAGGAGGCGGAGTTTGCAGTGAGCCAGGATTGCACCACTGCACTCCAGCCTGAGCAACAGAATAAGACTCCGTCTCAAGAATAAATATAAATGAATAAATAAATAAACAAATAAATAAATGGCTGGGCGCAGTGGCTCACCCCTGTAATCCCAGGACTTTGGGAGGCCGAGGCAGGCAGCGTGAGGTCAGGAATTCAAGACCAGCCTGGCCAACATGTTGAAACCCTGTCTCTACTAAAAATATAAAAATTAGCCAGGTGTAGTGGCAGGTGCCTGAAATTCCAGCTACTTGGGAGGCTGAAGCAGAAGAACTACTTGAACCCGGGAGGTGGAGGTTGCAAAGAGCCGAGATCACGCCACTGCACTCCAGCTTGGGTGACAGAGCAAGATTCTGTCTCAGAAAAAAAAAAAAGACTGTTTTAAAACCAGTGTCTAGTTGTCCTCACTTAAACTATTCACTTGGCTATGTTATTACATTAACATGTATTGAGTGCCTTAAAGAATAGGTTAAAATTTTAAAATAGCCATGTCTACCTAAATGCGTTTCAAAAGTGTTGTGATTCTACCTCATTGTTATAAAAATTATCATTATTTTCTAAGTCTTAGATTGTGGTGAAGATTGAAAATCATTATTCCTAACCATACTTACTCTTGCCACATGAACATAGCATAAAAAGTCACATTTTCTAGAAAAAGCAAATAAGGTTTCCCATAGTAAAGCTATTTTTTAAATTTTGCTTAGCAATATTCTGTGTTTTATAGTTTAAAACTATTTTATATAAATGGTGGTTATTTGTGATGTCATTTTTCACATGTTCTTGGCATGAACTTTCTTTGAAAGTTTACATACTTTTGATAAACTACCTTTAGCACTTTTTTTCTTTCACAGGAAATTCCTTTATCTGAAATTTTATCTCTGGAACCAGCAAAAACTTCAGCTTTAATTCCTAATGGGGCCAATCCTCATTGTTTTGAAATCACTACGGCAAATGTAGTATATTATGTGGGAGAAAATGTGCTCAATCCTTCCAGCCCACCACCAAATAACAGTGTCCTCACCAGTGGCGTGGGTGCAGATGTGGCCAGGATGTGGGAGATAGCCATCCAGCATGCCCTCATGCCCGTCATTCCCAAGGGCTCGTCCGTGGGTACAGGAACCAACTTGCACAGTGAGTCTGCCAGTTTTCTAACCAGCCCAAAGCTCATCATGTGCCTACCCATTGCTTAGTAAACATGTGCCCTGTCCTTCCTAAGAACAGAATGAACAAAGACTCCTTGGGGATGATTTAGTTTATTGGAGAATGTACGGTCTCTAAATAAAAGCTGCTGCACATACTAAGATGTTTAGTTTGTTAAATTATCCTATTTTATTGTAGGTATTTTATATTAAAATTTAACAAATTCAGATAAACACTATGTATTAGGCAATTACAGACCTCTAGAGCTATTGGTTGTAAAAGAAGAAGCAATCTGGCCAGGCTCAGTGGCTCACACCTCTAACCCCAGCACTTTGGGAGGCCAAGGTAGGTGGAGAACTTGAGCCCAGGAGTTCTAGTCCAGCCTGGGCAACATGAAGAAACCCTGTCTCTACAAAAAAATTACAAAAATTAGCCAGACATGGTGGCATGCGCCTGCAGTCCCAGCTACTCTGGAGCCTGAGGCAGGAGAACTGCTTGAGCTCAGGAAGCACAGGTTACAGGGAGCCAAGATCAAGCCATTGCATTCCTGCCTGGGCAAAAAGGAGGAGAGGAAGGAGGGGGAGGGGGAGGAGGAGGAGAAATCTAGCCAGCTTCAGCTTGACATGGAATGTGAGAGAAGAAGAAGAAGATAGAAGGAGATGGAGAGGATGAGGAAGAAGAGGAAGAAGAACAAAAGAAGAGGAGGAGGAGGAAGAAGAAGAAGAAGAAAGGAAAGAAAGGAAGGAAGGAAGGAACGAAGGAAAGAAGAAAGAGGAGAAAGAAATCTAGTCAACTTTAGCTTGACATGGAGTGCAAGTCTTGTTATTTGCAAATCTGAATTAATAAGTTTCCCTAAAGACACCTCACCTAGTATTCTGTGCAGGATATGGTAATTTGATGTGCAGAGTACCTGGTAATTGGTAATTCTTGATCATTTTATCCCAGGAAGAAATCTCTGTTCATTAATTGAATGAGATACATTTGCTAAAATGCAACCTAGATCCAGTATTGAGGATAAATTTTAAAGAAGAAATTTTAGAGAAATATTTGAATAAAAAAGTCATTTATTTTTAAATTTCATAATAGTTACTTATAATGAAACCTATGAATTAACCTCTGGTTTTTTACATTATAGTGTTATCTGTTGATGTGTCATAATTTTTTAGTTTATCTCTACAATCAAAATACATATTAATAGAATATATATGCCTATTTTGGTGCTAAGCACTTTACATGAGATCTCTATTTTAATGCCTAATCCAATTCCAACAGGTAGACTTTAACGATTGGCCTGTTTTACAACTGAGGAAATCAGTGTCTCTCGAGCGAGATTAAGTTGTCCGAGCTTGTACCAAAGCTGTGAAGTAGCAAAGCCAGTATCTGAATCCAAGTCCTTCTGGCACCAAACCCTAAATTCACAGAATGTTATTTTTCAAAACCAAGTATGGTGAATATGTAATTTTGAAAAGAAATAAATATTCTAATGACATTTTCTTAGAAAACCCTAATTGCTGTGATTTATTTAAAACCACTTTTGCAGGATGTAAGCATGTATTTACAAATGTAAAGCATGTATTTACTTGTGTTGCTATCACATCTCTTACTGACTTTTTGTGTGCATATTGTTTTACATGCATTTCCAGGAGATATCTCTGTGAGTATTTCGGTATCAAATTGCCAGATTCAAGAAAATGTGGTAAGTATGTACCTACTAATGTAAAACTTGGTAATGTGATTACTGGAAAATAAAAGCATCATAAAATAGGTTTTAAAATTCATTTTAATTTTTTAGTAAATTTTGAAAAGCAAAATAGAATTTGGATATTTTTCTGTGATATTTTAGAAACATTAAATGATATAGATTTGTTTAGTAATTTTTTAATAATCAATTCTGTAATATAGAGTCAAATATCTGTTTATCTCAGCTAGGCAATTATAATGTGATGCCTGATTTCTCACATATTTGCCCTTCTTGGTACTGGAATTTTAATGGTTGATATTACACAGTAAAATAAATACAGCAGCAGAATAAGATAAATTTCTTGATTTGCATAAGTAGCTTAAAAATGCCATTGTTCTCATTCCTTAGTTGCTACCTAGAAGTGCTGTATTATGACAAGGAGTTGCAAATGCTCTTATAGTCACTTGTACACATCAAGGAGACTTTAAGAAAGTTGCATAAATCGAATCTTATGGGTTCTCATTTTAGCACCCTAGTCACCTGTGCCACGTAACTCCATCCTTGCAGCTTAGTTTTTGAAAATTGTAGATCAGCCATATTATGAAATATTTTACAGTCTGTCAAATGTTTGCTTTATTTGTTATATTTTATCCCTAAGGCAAGTAGCCAAAAAGTAATAAGGCCTTCTACCTCCTCCTGTGACCCAGACCCTTTTCTCTATTTTACCTGCTGTACCTATGGCCAAAAGAATGCAGTTTACAGCTTATAGTTTATAAAAATTTGTTTAAAAAATTAACATCATGAAACGCTATTCATCCTTACTTTATCTTTGAAGCCTACATTAAAGTGACATAAAGTAAACAGCCAAATACGAATTAGAGAGGACTAGGTAAACTTTATAGTGAAGGTTAGATAAATTCTTGTGCTGTCAATCATGAGATAGATTCCTAAAAAAATTTCTTTTCTGCAGACTCCTATTGCCTTTGCTTAGCCAGGGACATTTTAGGAAATACAAGTTATTGTATAAGCCTCTTGGGAAATTCCTGATAGCTGTGGAGTTGTTCCACTCTCTTCAGCCACTGTTGTCTACTGAAAATTTTGAATCGGCCATTGAGTTATCAGAAAGCCTAAAGAACACTTCTCTTAACAGATGAAGTAGCTTGAAATCAGAATAATAGAATAGTATTAATATTACTTGTCTTGTCCCTAGACAGCCTTGAACTCATCCTGTGGATACTTTGAAGAATCACGGGATGGAGACAACTTGTAGTTATTTTCTAGGGAGAAGAACAAAGGAAAAAGATAAGGATTTGTAGGATATGGAGAGGGTAGGATTTGATATTAAAGGACTTCTTTTTTTATTATACTTTAACTTCTAGGGTATATGTGCAGAATGTGCAGAAGGACTTAAAAAAAATAAAGTCAAGTATAAGGGTAGAAGATAGGTGGAAAATCCGATAGGATGTAATGGGAATATATAAAGGAAAAAAGTATTACCTTGTGATTTCGTCAGCATGAAATCACAGACAATAAAACATAGATTTAAAAGATGCTTTATTTAACAGTTATTATTTCAAAGAGAAAGCATTAGACTTTTGGAACTTGTTAGCTCCGGAAGTGATGAAATTGGACGAGTTTAGCTACTTCACAGATGAGAATTTCATATGGGTTGCCATCCTTCTGCAGCCTCTCCAGCTCACTTACAGTGATTCAGCCTCCTCTTCCGTCACTTTAGGTTCATCTGCATGTGGGTGACTAATAGGGGAGCAACCTTTTAATTCTAGTCATACGGGGAGAAGTGGTTGGAATCAGGATTCACACAGACACGTGATTGGGAACCGTGATTATATAATGACATTTCCAAATAGCCATCTCAACAGGAAAATATCTTTTTTAATACTTATAGTAAATCACATTGTATGGTTTTTAGTCATCTTTCTTTCTAATGAAACATATGTGCTAGCACATTAGAAAACCTCTGCCACTTAAGATCAGAACAGTTTTCATAACATTATGTTATTACATTAATTAAAGAGTGTGCTTTGAGGCCACACATGGTGGCTCACACCTGTAATCCTAGCATTTTGGGAGGCCAAGGCAGGCAGATCACAAGGTAAGGAGCTCTAAACCAGCCTGACCAACATGGTGAAACCCTGTCTCTACTAAAAATACAAAAATTAGCTGGGCGTGGTGGTGCGTGCCTGTAATCCCAGCTACTCAGGAGGCTGAGGCAGGAGAATCTCTTGAACCCAGGAGGTGGAGGTAGCAGTGAGCCGAGATTGCGCCACTGCACTCCAGCCTGAGCAACAGAGCGAGACACCAACCAAAAAAAAAAAAAAAAAGAAAAAGAATGTGCTTTGAATATTACAGTCATCTCAGATTTCTAGCATTTCTGATTTATTTTAAAAATATTTAATGTTTATAATATATTTAATAGAATTGTATTAATTTTTAGGACTAATGTTTTGTTCTGCTTCATGTTTTTTTTTTTTCATCGGACTTGTACCTCTAGGACATCAGCACAGTATATCAGATTTTTCCTGATGAAGTACTGGGTTCTGGACAGTTTGGAATTGTTTATGGAGGTAGGTTATCTCACTGAGCATTTTTATGAACTTAAAGTTTTCGCTAGTTATATTTTTAAAAGCATATTTCCAGGAAAAACATAAAAGGGAAGACCTATGTGTATATATTTCTGTGTATCTTTCTGTGTTCTGTCTTTAAAAAAATTTTTTGAGATAGTTCCTACTTGGAAAATTGGTATATTTCTGTTTCGAAAGAGAAAGTTTCATACTCCCGAAAAACCTTTTTTCTTAATATAGACAAACTCTACACACAGTACTGAAGAAGTTTGGAATATCAGACAAAATATTGAGAAAACAAGGAAGTTATGATTTGCAAACAAATTAATTCCATTTTCTTTTGGCATACTTGATCAGAAGTCCATTCATGTTAGTAGACAAAACAAAATTTAACCTTCCAGTGTCTTTAACAATATATTTGTTTCCTGAAGGATTGAATTTTTTTTAATTTTTGAGGTGAAATATCAAGTCTTTACCTATTTTCTTTTTGTCAAGCTCTTTGGTAAGTTTATTATTCTAACTTCTGCTATTTTCGATTCCAGCCAGTTAAAGAATATTTTTCAAGTCTTTAAAAAATATTTAATATTAATGCTTTATTTGCCCTGAAAAATGACCTCATAACTTTCAGTTCCTTAATATTATCAGTAAGAAATTATTTCTTGTGGTGAGGTTGAGTGTTCTGATATAATCACAATGTTCCATTCAATTTTATTTATCACCATATAATATTGTACTTTTTAATTTAAAAAGTAATTAAGTTCTACTCTCTTTTACAATGTAATGTTGAGTCTTATAAAATGCTCCAGTGGTTTCTTTGATGAGAAACCTATCATGAGCCACTAACCACTGTACCATTTGTTAATGCATAACTGTATAATAGAGGGGACCGATTTGTTCGATTATTGCTCTACAGTATAATAGTTGCATGCCAAAAAAATTATGGTAGATAGATCATGGTTAATATACATAACTGCACATCATATAGGGGTGAGACAAGGGTGACAAATGAGAGTAGAGAGACCACCAGATGCCACATAATTTGGGACGTCCAACACTGACGACCAGGAATAGGAGGAGGCTGCCACATGGAAGACTGAAACTTTAAGATTAGACACAAATGGGGTAAAGTAGATGAGAAGAGTCTCCGAAGAGAGGTGAAGTACTACAGTGACGGAGGAGTAGAGACAAAAGAAGTTATGGCCTTGAAAAAAGTACTTGCAGGAAAATGGCTGAGTTGAAATAGAGACTGCAGTCAATCATAGAGTAAGAAATGTTAAGGAAGTAGAGACACATGAACACAAGCTGATTTGACAGTGAAGGAAAATAGTCTGGAAAGAGAAAGAATAGTGAGAGTGGGATATCGGGTGAGTGAACACTAGATTTACAAGTGTTGGAAGACTGGAATTTCAAGTTCGTTTGTATGTGACCAAAAAGTTTGAGTAATTAGATCCATTTTCCATTTCTGTTTTCTGATTCATTTTCATTTCTTATTTTCAGATTCAGTTAACACTGCTACCTACCACAATATAGTAGTGTAGAAGTTAAGAACTTGGGGGTGCCCCGTAGAATTCCTGAAAAGTTTGTTGCAGTAGTTAAATGAGGTGTAATACACATAAAGGGCCTATTATGTGGTGATGATGATGATTATGATAAGTAACATTTTTTGAGTGTGCACAGTTACCAGGGTATTTTGTATACTTTATATGCCACCTTTCATCCAATCTTCTCCTCACTGTAGATGAGGAACCTAGAATTCAGAAAGAGTGAGGGATTTGCTCAAGATCACACAGCTAATAAGTGGCAGAGCCAAGACTTTAATTCTTTCCCCTATAACACACATTATCTTATCAGGACTTTAAAATTATACTTTCTAAAGGGGAGTTAATTTGCTGGTGAAACAAATATTTTCTATATTAAGTAGCTCAATATTCTGTTTCTAAAACATATATTTTTGTGAAAAAATACCAGGCTGTTGATACATATAGCTTTTAATGCCCCAATTCTTTTGCGTTCTAAATTATGGCTAATTTTAAAGCACATATTTGATTTAGAATAATGAAATCTTTATATATATGTGTAAGTCAGTGCTCTTTAGAAATGTTAATTTATTCAGTGAAATATGTTTATCATTTCTTTAAATGTCCTTGCAAATTTTAGTGTTCTTTAAGATAGATCCTATTTAATAACATACTAATGCTCCCCTTTTTCATTTTAAAGGAAAACATCGTAAAACAGGAAGAGATGTAGCTATTAAAATCATTGACAAATTACGATTTCCAACAAAACAAGAAAGCCAGCTTCGTAACGAGGTTGCAATCCTGCAGGTACTTCTTTGGTTCTCATTCAGGGGAAGGGCATGAAAATCCCTCATCCTTTACTTCTGCAAAGCGAAGACATGTTCTCTAAAAACCTGTGGCGTAAATACTTGGGAACACTTTAAAATAATTGAAATGGCAGATCAAGTATCAGAACTTGCCTGAATAGTGTCTTTCCTGAGTCTAGGCAGCAGTTGTTCTTTTTTATGTATTTAATTCTAGGTTTCAGTATATAATTAATATTCATTAAATGGGTAATATTTCAGCATTTACTCGTAGTGGACATGCTGAGACCATTTTATTTTATATTACAAATGACCTTGCTGTCATAAACACGTCTTCTTTGTGCTGTGATAATTATATGAATTGGGTGTGTAACTGTCAGCATATCAGTTACGGGAGTGAGATGTGTCTGAGAAGCAGATCATCTTGATGTTATTAATGCCCTCTTTGTCTCTCACTGTAAGCCTTTCATGTGACATCGAGCATGTCACTTAACTTCTCTCGTTAATAACAGTCCCTTTTTTCAAACCAGAATTTGATAATAAAATATATTATGCGATAAAGATTTTTGTCACCATTAAAATTTTTTTGCAGACCAAAGGGAAATAGAGCAGTTGTTTGCTAAATGTAGTCATCATGGCTATCTATCTAGGCTACTCGATTGAGATCATTGATAAGTTCCTATTTTTATATAACTGACATAATTTTTTACTTCTCATGCAAGCATGTCATGATTTTTAATTCCCAGTTTTAATGGACCGTTTTTTTCACCAAACAGAACATTTCATTTCTTCATTTATAGTTTCATTTAACTGCCATTTGTTGAGTTTCATATAATAAAAAGCTGAAAAAGATATGATTTCTGCCCTAAAGGAGCTCATGTACACAGAGACAGCCACAGATATTGCCTGCTATACAGAGAAAAATAACATAGACTTTTCTGGGACTTGGAATTTCTAAAGATGATGTTTTTGTGGCTCTAGACAACTAATGTAGCACAGAGAACTCACAATGCTGTCTGCTTACATGGGGAAGAAAAGAACCATGGATGTGAACATACTAATTAATGGATTCATGGCTTAGTGTCTGTTAATCAGTTACAAACAACTGGAACATTGAGGTGCAGATG